CAAATGACTTAGTTAACGCATGTTTACACCATGAATCTTCAGTTGACTAACGTTACCAACTTTGTTTTGATTCGATTATTTTTTTGAGGTTAGGTTGTGGAAATCCACTTGAATTCGTTAATTGAGAACAAAACCTTTTGGTAGGATACGGAATCAGCTGAAATTGAATGGAATATTATTATGAGAACTCATGAGATAACTGCCACTTGCACTGAAGTCAAGTCATGGCTATACAAAAGTTGACCAAAATGTTTACACCGTCTTGGTCATCATACTATTTTTTTTCTCCCAGTGTACTCCTTTATATAAATATATATACATATATATCCATTTTTTTATGTTCATGATTATATCTGAGAATATTCCTTCTCAATACTTTCACCCAATCAAGGGGTTCAAACTTGAACGATGGAAACTTGTTATTTTTAAAGACCTTCAATAGCAGATTCTCGATTAGGTTTTTCAAATTCAGAATTTCTTTCCACATCCTGTATGATGAATATCAATTTATCATAGATCAAAATAAAATGAATACATTTTAGTGGTATTGATAAATGAGAAACAAAATTAATAATTTCAGTTAATACAATCCTGGCATTTCCCTTAGAACGGCCCTGCTTGCTAACCCAAGAACATGGCGGATCCCAGAAAACAGGTCCTAAAATATCAAAGGCGCCGACCAGAGAAGCACTTCTGATTGTTGAGTATTCTGTGATTTGGATATTCGAATTTCATCTATTTATTGTTTCAGTTCCAGTTCCAATTCCGAAAAAGTATATCTATAGTAGGTATAATATCCATATGGTGGCCTATCAAAAACGTGTCGCAAGGTACTGAAGGTTGTGAAAGAACTTGTGGACAAAGGGAAAATCCAAGAACACATTGCATTTGTTTGGTAAAAAACATAGCAAAACATTCAACGCCCTAAGTGTCATCACCAAATTATTTCAAATAGGAATACGGGTCAACTGATACCTCATTAAAAAAGACTTTCAATTTCCTCACTGCTGATGAGTTTTCCAAAAACGAACAACCCATGTAGAAAAAAGGAGCTAAGAAAAAACCAACAATTCGAAAAATTAAGAAATTGTGATGATTCCTAAGTAGCAGTTGAAGCATAATATCTCTTGTTGTGTTTGAGTATAGATAAGTTTATGGTATTTGTTCACTATTCGCAAATATTTATTCAATGTATAATTTGTTGTACATTGGAGATATTTCTTCTTTATATCTGTGTGCAATGACACTGCAAATATAAAAAAAGGTTGTTGACCGTTGTTTATCTTCATATCTTCATAGATAGAAATGCTAATAGATATTTTTCATATAATCAGGTAGGTACCTATATAGGATCAGGAAAATTGTCTAACGTGTTAGCTACAATTTGTTTCAAATTTTGGGTTCTTAAGAACGATGAAATTGATGATTTCATAAATTGTATTAAAAAGAATGTCATAATCAACTCAATATGGTTTACCCTAGTAGTAATACCACAGTAACTTCAGGAAAGCAAAATTTATGAATAATTTGAGTTTTGTATACATAGAAACAAAAGATAATGTTGTAGTTTACCGGGTCACATATACGACAAATCAGCATGATAAAAATGGTCATAATGTAATACCATATAATACCTTTATGCATTCTATATTAAGAAATAACATGATTCATTATTTATATATATATCATTGCTATCATGAAACATTTTTTATTTCATGATAAAGCTCGTATAACGTTTATGTCGGCATCATTTTGTTGATTCAGTCTCGCTATATTTTTTTTTTAGTGCATGTGAACACAGTCAGCAAGAACATCGTATAGACTGTGAGTGTTCTGGTATTCATCACTCATCAATCGCTTGAGATGAAATATAAATAGATGCATGCAGGAGTTTGAATAATCGATCGTATCATAAGGATACATACTGTAATGAACCAATCAGTAAATTCTGCCAATATTTCAACTTTTTGGCTTCGCTGTTTCATGCTGATCATCTTCAACAGGTCCTTCATGTTCAGGTTTCAGTTAGAGTTAAGGTAATGTAAGAAAATTTTGAATATAAGTTCATTAATCCTTATTGCTAATAGTGATCTCATTGTTTGTAAATAATTGTATAGTATCACTGAACTACCTACCAACAGTACCTACCTACCTGTTATTTTAGATTTTCAATGAATTCACCTATATTTTCAGATATTTAAAGTTTTTTACGCATCAGGAACTAAAAAAAATGAAATAAAGGGATGCACCAATCACATTGCGTGACGCGCGACGCAAAATGCAAAACGCTGCATTGGAAACCCACCTTAATACACCAAATAGACGCTGAATATTACATAAAAATGAATTACTTGTTCACGTACCGAGCATGCATAACATCCTGCTATGTTTCCGCTTAGTAAATAGGAAATAAAATGTTATACAAAAAGGAATGTGAGACTCGGTATATGCACTTATTTCTTGAAAGTGATGCCAATTTTCCACACGCTATGTCATGCATGTTTCTCCCGGAGGGATGAACTTAAAAACTCCATATATGTATATAATATGCAACGATTACACTGCACATGAGTCGTATAAGATCTATAATTTCCAGTTTGCGATAAATATACATTTCCGAACGGACATATTAAATATTCAATTTTGCAAGTAGTTAGAAACTTAGCTTGGTGATAGGGAAGTTGAAATACATATAGATACAGTGCAATGCGAATGCACCACAAGAATCTATATTTACTCATATTCTGTCAGCTGCTTCTCAGAATAATGAAGAATAATACTTTCTGACTGCATATAGAATGGGCACACAAGTCATGATCAACAAAATCAACTGGGTCTGCGTATTCACATCAGGTCAGAATATGAAATCATCTTCCTGTTATCACCAGAATTTCCATGAACCATGCACAGTGCACACAGCATTGAATCTTGCTGTCTGGAATGATGGATGACACCAAGACAGCATTCTGTATCCTGGCGATACTTCTGGGAATAATCTGGTATTCGGTTTGGTATAGGTGATTGGATATTTTAATGAAGCAACAAGAATCACGGTCAAAGTTGGTCATAATTGATCAAACTGGAGTGTTGCCTCACGTACCAGCATTGGTTAGTACAAGTGGTCAAGTTCCATTTGTACTCAACAAGTGGGTTTGCCAACATGGCATACCTCTGACACTCAGATGGAAGAAGGCCAGAACATAGCTGGACGTACTTGCAAACTGATATAATACCATATATACATTCAATAGTGTCTGAGGAATATGAAATATCTATTGTACATTCCATGAACCAAGTCTATAAGATCTCACACCTTTGAGTCTGAAATTGCAAACAATTCATAAAAAAAACTTTAAAGAGACGACCTCATGTGGGTTACCAAAAGGAACTGTGGCACCAGTTAACTCTTTTGGATTTCAAAAAGAAGAATTTTCTTGTGAGCTGCTTACTACAAATCGGCTGTTTTGCAATCGGCATTTTTATGTAGGGAAATTGTTGTTGTGAAATGAATGATTTGGATCGGTGCTAGTGAAAGTACAAGGCGAATTGGTCATTTTGAGTTTTCTCTGTTGATTCGAGTGCCTAGCGGTTGTGAAGTGTGAGTTGCTGAGGTTGGTAAAAAGGTCCCAAGAGACCTTATTGGGGTTGAGACGGGTTGTTTTGGATTTGGAATAATCACTCTGACAATGGTTAAACGATTCCACCTTGCATTCTGGAGAATTTGGTTCCATTCTGGTGGAAGATCGAGACAAAATGGTCCTTCGAGTTATCTCGTGAGTAGCAAATGACTTCACATTTGAAGCTTCTGGTGTTGGCAAGAAGAGTCCAAGTAGTGTAATTTCAGCTTGCTGGTATTTCAACTACTACTACTACTTGGGTTTAATAACACTGATTATTTTGAAATTATAACTTTGAGATAGAAAACGGTTGTCTAAACAAATTCACACAGCATTCAAGTCCAAGCCATATCGCTGGAATACGTGTCGTCTTGAAGGAAGATCTGGACAACTTGGTCCTACGAGCTGGATTCCGTTTTTTCCTGGCAACTGACGAAAGAGTCCAAGAGGACCTACTTGAGTGGTGTAATTTCAGTTTGCTGTTACTTTTACTATTACTACGTGGGTTTAACGAGACCGATTATTTCTAAATTATAACTTTGGCAAAGGAAATGGTTGTGTATTCAAATTTACCCATCATTCAGATTCAATCCATCTTGCTGAAGTAGATAACTTTCGTCTTGAAGGAAGATCTGGATATTTTGCTGCTACGAGCTGCATTCCATTTCTGGGTAACCCCACTGGGGGTGCCACAGAGAAATTTGTCCTCCGAGCTCTTTCTGGAGTAGCGAATGACTTCACATTCGATTGTTCTGGGATTGGCATGAAGATTCCAAGAGGCCCTACTTGAATGGTGTAATTTAAGCTTGCTGATACCTCTACCACTACTACTATGTGGGTATAACGAGACTGGTTCTTTCGAAATTATAACATTGATATAGAAAAGGGTTATTTAAACACCCAGCATTCAAGTCCAAGTCATATCTCTGGAATACGTGTCGTCTTGAAGGAAGATCAGGACAACTTGGTCCTACGAGCTGGATTCCGTTTTTTCCTGGGCAACTGACGAAAGAGTCCAAGACTTGAGTGGTGTAATTTCAGGTTGCTGTTACTTCTACCACTACTACTATGTGGGTATAACGAGACTGGTCCCTAAAATTATAACTTTGACATAGAAAAGGGTTATCTAAACAAATTCACTCAGCATTCAGTTCCAAGTCCAAGCCATCTTGCTGGAGTACCTTTTGTCTTGAAGGAAGATCTGGACCTATATCTGGACAACTTGGTCCGACAAGCAGAATTCAGTTTTTTTTTTCCTGGACAACTGACGAAGACCAACTTCCTCTGCTCTCTCTGGGCAGGCCCAAGGGGGGAGTCACAGTTCACAGAACGGCGAGCATACACACGGAACGGAGAAATCCTTGGCTCGGCTTGTTCATTTTCAGTCTACCGTCGACTCTGACGCCAACAACAATCTAGCAGGCCGTCGCGATCGTGTTTTGCTTGGCGTGCGGAAGGCCATCGAACCTTTCCGATGTCTGTGCGTATAGTGTGACCGTTTCGGCTTATTATTGTTGTCATTGTTGCTAAGAACTGTCATTTTTGAGGTGCAGTACTGTCGCCTCTGACAGGTACCTGTCTGTGCCGGTCTTTTTTTATGGCGGTGATTGAAATGATAGTGGACTGTCGATGATGGTGGACGTTATCTTTGGTTGGATTTAGAATTGGTGGATAGGAGCTACAAGCTACAGGTGCTCTGTGGATGTGGAATGAAGTGAGTTTCGAATGTTTTGGATATACCTATGGAAACAGGTCGCAAGTATATTCTGTTGTGAGTCTTGAGATCAATGTGATATATCCAGTTTCAATAGGACTTTTTGAGTGCTGAAGAGGCTTGAGATGTGAACACATTTCCGGAAATTTCATTTCCACAAAAGCCACTCACGAACTCTAGGAACTAAAATTGTAGTCAATGGTCTATGGTTGGTAAACAATGCAGTTATGAAAAGCAGCAACGTTTCCTACTGAAAATCGAAATATCGGAAGCAATTTTTTATCTTTTTTCCGCTTTTTTCCAACCGTGTACAACTGACCAAATATTGGGTTCATAGGTATATGACATCTAGAAAGCGGCTAATATTTTCTGGGTGCTGTTCTCATCTATAACCGTCTATTTTTATTTCATAACCAAAGAACATAATGTGCGAGATAATATGGAAATTTTTTGATCTTGCTACACCAAAACTGGATGGTTTTTGCCTACTTAGTGCCATTTCCACAAATTCTGAAAACCAAAACAAAAAATATCCAGTACTGTAGACCTCTTTACAAGGTAGCGGAAGACGAGGCGAAAGAAATCTCAAAATTTCAGTGTAGAAATATAAAATAGTAATAGAAAAAGAAACATCTAGAATATCCACAATTCCTTTTGAATTACCTCATTTAGATACGGTTCAGTTACAGAAATTACATTTCATCAAAGTTCGGTTTGTTCGGTTCTTCTCACTGCAATGCACTGCCCATTCACAGTGCCTCCGCGATTTTGGTGAACGATGACATTGGCATTCAAATGCTCCGCTGAGTCTGTCGCTCATTCACAGTCTCGTTCACAGTGTCTTTCGATACGGGCTATCAAATCTAACGCTATCTGAGTCCGTCACCCATTCACAGTTCCCCGGGATACAGGCATTCAAATCTCCCGAAATCTAACGCTGAATCCGCCGCTCAATCTCAATGCGCTTCTTCACGACGCGGACAGTCAATCAAATCCAGTGCTATTCAATTCAGTCGCTCAATCACATTGCTCACTCGATACTGAACTGAATAACACACTCTGTCGTTCTTTGCTCATTCACTCATCTACTTTCAACCAGCCGTTCTTCACTATCAATTCTTATACTTACAACTGTGTTCAGCTCTGCGAAAAATCAAAATCCTTAAAAATATACAATTCGAATAAGTGTACGGCTATAAAAAACGCGAGACTTCCGGTTCTTCATATATTTATTTCAATTGATAGTTTGTTCCGTTGCTGTATTGCATGTTTTATATTCTGTCGAAACTACATATCAGCATTGAGCTGTCCTTCGGTCTTGCATGATTATATCGTCATGTCGAATATATAAGAGATACCTCGAGTACCTTCTACTGTTTCATGCAATACAAAAGAAGTCACATAATACCTGTGTCATTAGTTTTGAGAATAGAACCTCTCCTTAAAAATAGTAAGTTTTGGTTTTCCGTTTTCGAACTAGAAGTTGGAAGACTGCTGACTGGTTCCAGAGCCTGAGGATCAACTTTCAAGACGAACTCTTGGACAAACTCAATAGACATTCCGGATCTTCGTATTTTGCATTGTTCACCAAGCAAATATGTCGTTTTTATGTGTATTTTCCAATCGCCAGTCATCATGATACGAAATCAAAGGCATCTCGGAAGTCACATACGAAAGATCAGGAACGCCACTAATGCTTGGGAATGTTTTCATGAAAACAAAATATTTGTATATATTGAAACTCTGAAAGGAAGATAGATCGCTATGTGGTATATGAGCACTCGACTACTGGCTGGATTCAAACTTACTATTTTACGAAAGTGTCGAGAAAGATATCGTTATAATTTTCGAATTCCGGTGCCCTTGACAAAAATCGGATATAAAACAGTATTCTCACACCGTCAACCTTCGAGGAGAATGAATACGATAATAATTGAATTACTGAAATTGACACTACCCCGAAAACCCCGCAGAGCGATAATAGACTCCCTTCCGATCAAAGAATCCCTATAATATTAGTTAGATGACTCACTTATTTAGTCACGTGTTCGAATTGCAACCATTGTAATTACCTCTAGTTGTCTATAAGAGAACACAATGGAAAAAGCAATAATCCTAATCTGTCCATGTGTCTAGTTCTTAAATTGGTTAAAATAACGATAAATGTTCTGATTTATTTCATTATTTACATAGGTGTAGAGCTTTTATTCCGATATTCAGAACATTTGTTCTAAATTTGTTCTAAAATTTGTTCTTTCCGTCATTCGGTTGCCCCCTTACGAGCAACCCTCAAAAGTCTTCGAAAGTCTTGTGCGAGCAAGGAATGACGGGGGCCTTACCTTTTAACGTGTGATCCCAAACACTTTCTTGGGCCATCAGAAAAATTTCTGCAGTCGACGGGGATCGAACCCACGACCGACAAGCGAATGCGAATTAGAATATAGACACTCTGCTTTTGGGTGTATGATAAATTGACATTCATCAATTTCAGAAGTTTTTATATTTTATTTTCAAACTCTTATCGTGTGTGTTCAATAGATATAATTCAATGTTCGTCGTGGCATATAGCCAGGAAAGTAGTTGTTTTCTATTGAATCAACTGAGAAAGAGTAAATATTCTCATCATATAGAGAATGCGAATTCTCAATGTATTGCTTTATATAAATATATATCCATTTTTGTATGTTCATAATTTATCTGAGAATATTCCTTTTCAACATAGACACTCTGTCCGCACGGCTACCTGGCCACCCTTTGTTTTGTTTCATTATTATTGTTTTGAACAAGTTTTTGAATCAAGTTTGACGTTTTGAAGTTGTTAGTTGCACTAAATATCTGTCTTGCACGTAATGTTGCAATTTTAGTTTCAAATTTCAAAGCGTGATAATCTCGGTGATAACACTAATTTCCTTGGGTTTTTACATTCCCTACCCCTGAAAATGGATAATTATTTAAGTTGATCCTGATAAGTGTTGATGTGATCCGAGATGTGACCTAAGATTAGTTCACAAATTTACAAAATCAACCTCTCGAAAAGAAAATCTGGTCAAAGAATTGAAGTGAAAACACTAATTTTTGTCTTCATCTTTCAACCTCAGCAACCGTCAGCAACTGTCAATTTGTTTTTCAAATTGGCCCGCGCATATGTTTCTTGATTTTTTCAAATGAAGAAAATTGGTCTAAATTCAATCTGGCTTGAAGTCACCCCTCTATAGTCACTCTAAGTATCTCTGAACCTACCTACCAGTTACACAACATCTGCAACACGTACCGTTATTATTTTTGCATTATACCATCATCTTCACCACACCGACAAAACCGCATCATCTATTCCCATTATATTCAATTCGATTATTTTTAGATACTAGAGTTCAATCGTATTTGCCCACGCAAAATGGGCTGAACTTGTAGGTCGCAGACGAGGTCGAAACTTTCATATTTCCGATCGATTTGCCCATATCCTTTATCGATGCGTGTATGGTACGCTTTACGACGGTAACTGAAAACCATCTACCTATCTATCAGATATCAGCCGGTTTTGCTCTCTTTGGGCGAGATTTTGTACCGAGTTTTGTTTTGTACTTTCGACCTACTTGAGTGTGCCAGTTTTATTAGCCAAAATAGTAGATTGTTTTATTAGGATCAAAAGTGTCACTTTGTTTGACAAGCGAATTTTGCATTTGCGAGGCGGAGCGTTTAGCGAAGCAGAGCGAAAGCAAAATTTGCGAGTCGAACAAAGTAACTTTTGATCCGAATGAAACATGCTATTTTTTCTGCAACCGAAACAATTAACTCAAATAAACATGTGAAGTAACCACCAATGCCGTGCCATATGTATGCAATGCAACACATATTGACAAATAATCCATGTGGTGAGAATATTCTACCTGCATTAACAGCAGGTTAGGTTTTCTAGGATGTTCTAATTGTAGTTTCAATATAAATACAACCACAGAGTAACATATTTGTGTATGGACCAGGTGCTCTAATGGCAAATACCGTGTCAGTGCCAGCTATAGGAACAAGACGTGGAAAATGTTAGGTTAGTGAGCATATCAACAATGATAATAGTGATTATTTATTCCTCTGCATACTGGCATACTACACTGTGTTTTGACTTGATAATCAAATGAAGCTAAACAATATCGTTGTTTGAGACAAAAAAACTATTGCTTGCCGTGATTATTCAAAAACAAGTTATCCATCCCGAGAATATCGAATGAAATACAGATCATGCAAGTATTTGAATCTTGAAGGCTTCCCTGATCAAAACAAAAATACTCAACTGAGATGTTTATAATTTCAATACTAAACTATAAGGTGTATTTATATTCCAGCATGGGTATGAAATGCCAAATCTGCTGAAATCGGAAACAAATCAGGTATGCGTCTCAACCCAAATAACCACCGTCACAATGTTGTTTATTCTTGATGACGTCCAGTAGATCGTTTTTAGTTCCTAGGAACTAAATATGTTGCCTAGCAACATACCTATTTTTGTGCCAGTAATAGAAACGTCAATTTAAGTGCTAATTTTGGTATCAAAATGGACGACTTTTGTTTCAGTTGCAGAAAATAGTATATTATGTAACAAGTGTTATAAACGTCCTTTTAGTAACGAGTAGTTTAAGCACGAGCGGAGCAGAGCGGAGCGAGTGTTTAATAAACGAGTGTCTAGAAGAGTTTATAAACGCGTTACATACTATGATTTTTCTACGAACTCCAAAAGTTACATTAATTAACATACCTGCTATTCCTGCTAACCTACAAAATAATTCGAAAGGAATGGGAATTGAGAACATAATACATACAACTGCATGCAACCAGCGAGACACGTATGTGATATTGGTTGTAGATCTGTCCAGTCCATTGCTTACTAACCTTTGTTTCACGTTTATTGTCATGCTTAGCGCTGAATAAATAAATTGTTCTCAAAGATGGATGCTTCATTTTAACACTTCTTGGAGGTATGTAAGTACCTGAACATTCTCTTCGATTTC